GGAGACAAGAACACATTGGGAGCAAGGCGGAGAATTCTTCTACGAGTTTTTTTCCTTCCTCTTCCTATTTTTCATTGTTGGTTATGACTTTTAGTATTGTAGTTTTACATACTATTATGAATAGCTAATTTTGTTATCTAGAGTTTTGATAGAACCTTTTGTAGGATAAATTCTTGTTATGTTTTTATATAATTGAGCCATAGCTTTTCTCTATTTGTTCAACTACGTTTATATTTTGGTTGATTGAAGAGCTCTCAATTAGTTGTGCCTATTTAGTATGCATAACTCGGGAGAGAGTGCATATTTAGGTAATTGTTGAACAACACCACTCCCAGAGTATATGAGAGATCAATAACCGAGGGTTTAAAGGTGGGATTAGGGATAACGAAGCCTTGGGTGCGATCTGAAGTGAGCTGTATTAAAAGCCAGCTAGCGTAGCTCAGGAGAGTGCGTCTAGTAAATTGTCGTAATTACTCGGGAGAGATTTACGGTAATAAGAGTGCTCATGATCGGTAGAGAATACTTAGGCGAAATTATAGAAGACATAGCGGGAAGGATTCCGACAATAAGGGAAATCATAACTCTAGACCTCCTTAATATTTTCTCTAACCCTCAGTATCGTTAGTTGTTAATTTACTATTTTAATTTGTTAGTTAAGTAGTTAAACACAAGAATCTTAATATCTATAAGTTAGGAATTGTACAAGCTTGTCTTCTTGGTGATAGTGAACAGTTGTAGCTAAACCTTAGTTCTCTGTGGGATTTGACTCCGAACTTGTAAATCGAATTATATTTGCAGTGACCGCATTGTCCTTTTTATAAGGCATAGTAGGGCGTGATCAAATTTTGGCGCTGTTGCCGGGGAACTAACGGTGTAGTTGTAGGTGTACATATTGCTAGGTTTCAAGTTTGAACTTTTATTTTATTATTTGATTTTTTTATTTTTTTATTATTTTAGTTTTATTTGTTTATTTGAGAAACATGACATCATGGAATTATGAGAATTTTGTTGTTGGTAATTCTACTTTTGATCCTCCTTATGCATATTGTGAAGGAAACCACCCAGGGCAAAATTATCAAAATATTCCTGAGAGCGAGTTTTGTGCACCAACTCAATCTTATGTGTGGAATGTGTGTGATATGTGTGGTGGTCAAGATGGTCACTTTCACGGTTGTGCTTATATTTCTTACCTTCCCCCAACCCCTTACTTTGATGGTTATTCTTTTTCTAGTGAAGTTAATAGGAACAAAGAACCTAGGGAAGCTGACCTAAAGAAGCTCGAAGATATGTTAAAGTGCATTTTGGAACAACAGAGTAAATTACTACTGCGGATAGAAAGGCAGGAGGAAACTATTCACAACTTGAAAGTTCACATGAGTCAACTGGTTGAAGTTTTTAATGCTCAACAAGCCAATATTGTGAATAGTATCCAAGAAGAGCGTGAATGAGATACAGAAATTGATGAGCTAGAGGAGGAGGCTAGAGTAGAACACCAACAATCAATCACATTAGATTTTGAGGATGTCGATGTTGTAGAAGAGATACTAGAGTCAACCAAGGACATTGAGGATACATATTTAGTTGACTCTATTGTCATTAGTGTTGAGAATGTAGACAGTCCCAATGTTCATGTAGTTGAGCGCATTGGTCCTCACTCCAAGCATTTTTCCACATTGTGTTTAGATGATGATATGGAAATAGAGTCGTCCGAGCCATTTGAGGAGTCAAGGAATGAGGAACAAAGTGCTTACATTCTGGAATTCTTCTTGCCAGAAAGTCGGGATTACACACTTCATATAAAGGCCAAGAAGTGCAGAATACTATATTATTTTATTGGGCCAGTCAGATTCGTTCCACCACCCCAGGAGCATTATCATAGAGCAGAATCAAAACTTTGGGTCCGATTCATAAGTTCAAAGTGGAGGCAGAAAGTGATTCACGTCGTGTCGCGACGTTAAATCAAGCGCTCGTTGGGAGGCAACCCAGCTTTATTGCTTTCTTTTATTTTTTTTATATTTTTTTTATTATATTATTTTTGTAGTGTCAATTTTTTATTTTCTAGGAGCATGGAAAGCAAAGGTATTGGAAGGATGCACCAACAAATGAAATGGTTGGAAATAAGTGTGAGGTACCCACACGAAGGATCAAGCTTGGGAGAAGTCTGAGTACCCCATGAACTGCTAGTGCTTCGGCCTTTGGCCTACCAGGGAGTTTCTTTTACCCTCTTGTATGTATGGGTGTGCATTGGGAACAATGCACAATTTTAAGTGTGGGGTGAGAAGATTATCTGGGTGATTTTTCATGCTACTTTAGCTGTATTTTTTTTTTTTAAAAGATTGGACTTTTCCTGATGACGGATCTTCTAGACAGTTTTTTGAGGGAAGTAAGTCTAAAGAAAACACCAAAAAGATTTTTTGTTTTGTTAGGTAGTGTAGCAATTACCTCTTGGTTTTTCTTTAAACCACTATTCTTTTCCAAGGGTTTTATTTGAACCGGGTGTAGTTAGTTTTTTTTTTTGGGAATAGGAGCCATTGTGTTTTGTTTTGAAATGAAGCAATATCTCTTGACTTTGTTATGCCTTGAGAATAGTGAGTACTTTGGCTGTGACGCTTAGGCTCAGTTTTTGACTCTTGTATAAGTACCTTAAATTGTATGATCTTAAATTTGCTTAACTGCTCTGACTAGGGTGTCTTGATGAATCCAATCCTGAGTGAGTTATGTGCCATATGTGTGTAAGGTTTTGTGATATTCTGTGCATTGCATTTGATGCCTAGAACTTGCCCCGTGTGTTTGCAAAGCGAAATAGTAGTTTTATTCAGTCTAGGAAGTGATATAGGCATTTCTTTGTTGAGCCTGATATGTATATTTTACCCGCCTAATTATTATGTATCGTAGTTAACCCCTTTGAGCCTGTAATCCTGTTTCTTTGGCAACCACATTACAAGCCTTACCCATTTGTTCGAATTAACCAACTATTTGAACCATTGTAACCTCTCATGAGCACTTGAATTGTTATGAACTTTGTAAAAGTTAAAGTGTGGGGTGGTTGGTTTGGCTTTTGAGTGGAACTAATGAAATAAGGAGAAAGGTGCACTGTTTTGAAAAAGGAAGAGCCACTTGAATTGAAAAAAAATATAGTTGGATTGTTGTAAAAAAAAATCCTTGATAAGTGATGGCTCTTGACGTAAGTGTGCTTAAAGAAGTATGGGGTAATATAAATTGATGTGAAGGTGGAGTTTTGGTTTGACATAAGTATGGGGTTTGAATGTTAAAGTATATGTATTAAAGTGCTTAGGGAGGTGTAGTCACCCTTATATCTAAATGTATCCTACTCGTCCCGTAGCCTACATTACAACCAAATAAAGTCCTAATTGATCCAAGATTGAATGAGCTCGAGTAGTGGAGTAGTACACTACGGGCAAGCTTATGGTGCATCTTTTATGGCATATGAATGGTATTTCTGAGAGTGAGTGAATTCTTTCTATCTTGAGTTCCTAAGTGTTCTTAAATTTTATTGTGTGGAACTACTCTCTTTTGTTGTGTGAGCACTTGATTCATGAAGGAAAGGTAATGTCAGTCACCTCTATATTAGAGTAAGTGGGTGAGTTGTGAATAACGTGTGGTACTTGTGAGTCAAATTTTGAGGTGAAGATGTTACGCTTTTGTGCTTAGTCTAGTTTAAATACTCTTGGTGTGATGAGTTAGGAGAATTGTTTAAAAAGGTCGTGTCTATAAAAAAAGTGTAGTTTGATTGCTCGAGGACGAGAAATGGTGTAAGATACCATGTAGTTGGTGCACAAAACTCGTATTTTAAATACTATGTAGCTATTATAAAAAAAGTGTAGTTTGATTGCTCGAGGACGAGAAATATAATCCGGTTTACAAGTGCGGAGTCGAATCCCACAGAGAACTAAAGTTTAGTTACATAGAATTGAAGAAGTATTTGCAGTAGAATTCATTTCTTAGGTCCTTTTTGCACATGTTAGATACCATGTATTTTAAACTGGACTGTAGCTTTAGATTAAATAACTTTAAAATGTTCACTTCATGCCTGCATTTCTTTGGCTTGCATATGTACACGTTAGTGGGTATAATCAAGAGTCAGTTTTATCATTTTGGTTATTGTGTTTTTTTTCTTAAATCCTTGCATCTAGAAGCCATGTCCAACTTTTGATCTCTAGGAGTAGTACGTGTTAGTTGAATATTTAAATGACCTTAAAATTTGCTTTAGCACACGTTGGCACTTACTGTTAATTAATATATGCACGCGGTAGTTCATATGAGTTAAATTTTCTTTAGGCTACAATTTTGATGATTATTTTTCTCATTCCTATTTCCTTTCTTTTGTTTCTTTGTTCTCATGTACACTTGGGACGAGTGTTCGAATGCTAATGCAAGAGCCTTTCAACTCTCATGGAATTACCATCACATTTGTCTATTCCATGTGATCTGGGATCGCAATTCAAGGAAAACAATTGATTAATAGCAAAAGCATGGTCCTTTGTGGGGATGCAGGCATAGGCGTTTAAGCCTATATTTTAATATCTACTGCCTTGGCTTTGTCCCTTGATTATATGACTAAATGATTACCTTCATTATTTAAATTTCTTGTTTATGTGTTAAAATTAGCTGGGTGTGGAATATAGCTAATAATCAGATTACTTAAAATATGTTGGACAATAGTTTTGGCTTTACAAACATAAGGACACGTGATTTTCACTCCTGTTTTTTTTTTTTTTTTTTTTTTTTTTTTTTTTTTTTTTTTTTTTTTTTTTTTTTGTAATTAACATTTTCATTACCAGGGAAAATATTTACACATTACAAGTAAATCAAACCCTTACAATTTATCCTACTTTGCTATACTTCACCCTTCACCCCTCCCCATTTCCTGTTATTTACACATTTATCTATCTATTACATTGGGTACCAATTTAGTCTATGTAGTATTTTCTCTGTATGTTTACTACTTCGATAATGCAATTCTTGAATTATCTTCTTACATATTGCTTCCCAGCCTTTCGCCTTAGCTTGAAAAGTTCGAGCATTCCTTTCTTGCCACACGTGATACACTGTTGCTGCTATTGCCATTTTGTATAACTCAGCAGCAGCTGTTTTCCTCTTAGTCTGCATCTCAGCCCATCGTAGTTCCTCATTCCAGCCATTTACTGGTCTCTTTATCCCTTGCCATGCTAACACTGTGCTCCACAGTGCCTTTGCATATGTGCATTCAAAGAACAAGTGTTGTATGGATTCATTAGCTTGCTTGCATAGGACACATTCTTGATCCACCTGCATTCCCCAGCTTTGCAGTCTATCCCTTGTGTATAGCTTCCCATGAGCTGCCATAGTTAGTATAAATGTCCACCTAGGGCAGCCTGTGTTATGACAAACTACTCTTCTCCAACTAACTTTGTCAAATCTTCCACGCAGCCTGTGGTAAATGTTTTTAATCGAACAGTTCTTCATCTTCACGATATCCTCATAGCTGAATCATGCCTCTATAAATGTTTTCTTTGCTTTTATGATCTTACTCACCATCCAAGATGCATGTTTCAGTTGAACATCCCATATGTGCCTCTCCTTGATGTAGTAGCTGTGTATCCACTGAATCCACAGTTTCTTCTTTTCTTTGCATAGGTTCCAGAAGTGTTTACAGATAGCTGCCTTGTTCCAAATGGTTATATTCATGATGTTGAATCCTCCAGCAGATTTGGGTAGGCGGACTTTCTCCCATGCCAATAGAGCCTTCCTAGACACACTCCCTTCTCCTGTCCACAGAAAACTTCTACACATTGCTTCAATTAACTTTGTGATCTTTGTAGGAAGTACAAAGATTTGTGCCCAGTAGGTCTGTATAGAGAATAGGACACTCTTTATCAGTTGGACCCTGCTAGCATAGGATAGGAGTTTGGCAGTCCATGAAGCTATTCTTCCCACTATCTTGTCAATTAGAGGATGGCATTGTACTATGGACACTCTTTTTGAGCTTAATGGAGCTCCTAGATATCTTACCGGCAGCTCTCCCTTCTGGATTCCTAGGAATTCTAGGATTTCCTCTTGAGCAGCTTGTGATACCCCTCCAAAAAAAATAGAGCTCTTATGTTTGTTGATAACCAAACCAGAGGATTTTGAGAACTCCATGAAGCAATTGAACAGTAGTTTAACTGATCCTATGTCACCCCTGCAAAACAATAAAAGATCATCAGCAAACCCAATTTGCAGTTGGTACACTTGGGGTGGTAGTTGAAGTCTGGGATCTGGTTCAAAGTTTTAAGGCTTCTTGTTAAGTATTCCATTGCCAGTACAAACAAGAATGGAGACATCGGGTCTCCTTGCCTCAACCCCTTCTTAGCATCAAAGGGCTTTGTCAAATTTCCATTTATCACAACTGTATATGTAACAGTTTCCATGCAGGCCATAATCCATCTCACAAATTTGTGTGGAAAAGCCAAAGCATTCAGCACTTGTTCCATGAAAGG